TCATTCCACATCAGCTTTGACTATTCGGTTGAAGTGATGTGAGATGTTATTTATAGTTGTTAAATATCTATATGACACTTTTGACATATCGGTTGGAGATGCTCTTACTTGTAACTCTGTGTGACATTATCCTGCTTGGGAAGTTGGGCTTTGGGTTCTTCCTTGCCGCTCTTGAAAGACACCAACTTTAATCTTCAATTTCGGTTTTTCTCCATTGTTTTAGACAAAGCTTTGAAATTGGAACATTGTCGGTGGTGTCCTTATGGATACAATCTTCTCATGGTTGGGAAAAATACGTTGATAAACTAATTAGCTGATTTCTGAACACTAACATACTATGTTGAGAGATTGACTATTTGGTAATATAACATACTATGTATCTAACAAGAGGAAGAAAATATTACTATATATATTATTGATAATTGAAAGGGAAATGAATTGATGGCAGATAAATTTAATATAATTCAATGAACCCAGAGAAAAAAGAAAAGTGCCTACAAGGGTTGGTTGAGTTGGTAGGAGCATTCTCTTTGCTATTAAGGCCTAGATTCAAGTCTCTTTGTCGACAATCCCTCTTAGTGGGTAATATGTAAAAATTAAGAAAGGGGCTAAGACCCTCTTTGCAAGTCCTCAAAGAAATTTAGGTATGTCATAATAGAGTAGCCTCCTCTCCCTCTCAACTTTTTTGTTTACCGGAAAAAAGGAAAAAGAAAAGAAAAGAGAAGACGTCCAAAAAAGTTCCACAAAATCAGTCTTGGGCCCAAGCATTAAGATGGGGAAGGGATTGCTTGGTGTGCAGTGTATTGCAACAATTTGTACCTGGCCCAAAATCTAAGCATTGGGCAACCTTGGGATGGATCTGGATGCTTTTCACCTGCTTTTATTGGATGTAATTTAACATTTGAGCCCAACTCCAGCCAAAATATATGCATTTAGAGATGTTCGTGTTTCTTTACAGGCAAAAAAAGGGTAGCAAAAGTTGTACCAACATTTGGAAAAACAATACATTTTTTGGTAATTTCAGCGCATTTTAAAATTTTCAGAAATTCAATTCTAAGACTTGTAGGTGTTGGAATATTAGAGAGGTCGTGGAGTATGTGGAGAAAGTTCAAAGAATCTTTATCTTCATCGTCCTCGTCCTTGTATTATATATTATTATTATCATCATTATTATATATACACACACAAAGAGCTTTTATTGAGGGACTCATCAAATTAGCTTATTTGAAAGACATCTTTTTAGGGCCCATTTCGCTTTGTATTTCACTAATCCAAACCGTCTATGTTTTAGATAATCATTCAAATATCACCTCTACAAGAAATCACTTGAATTCAATATCATTTGACCACTCAATTGTGTTATTGAAATTTTAATACTTTCTTGAAGCACCGTGTTCATTGATTTTGTAGGATACAGTTGGATGTCGAAACGTTTTCCAATTTGTCTAATTTTTTGCAAGAATGATCTATGCATGTAAACTTAAAAAATAGATGATTTAAATTGTTATAAATTTTTTAAAAAAAATCATAGGATACCCTAAAAAATATCTCTCAAATAAAATTATTTGGAAAATCTCTCAATTGAAAGAACTACATATCTAACAATATGTGATATGTCCAATCAAATATCTAACTTCAAAATTATTGTCCATAATGGTGCCATGAAGGAACGAGCAAAAGTTGATTGTGATTTTGCCCGAAAGTTAGGCTAAGGGCCCACGCTGAGCAACACTATAACTAGGATTATTGCATTTTGCATGAAATTAATTATATTTGGAAACGACATCCACCCACAAACACTTGACGTTTGGCATGGTCATCTCATATGGAGAATCGACGACCAAACTCACCAAACTCAGAGAAAATGTTTGTGACCATATATATTTGTGGTAGCCCCCACAAACCTCTCAATTGTTTACTTATATACTGGAGAGATATGGAGCTTTTAGGTAAAGCTAAATTTGAATGGAATTGACGACATCATTCAACTATAAGAAAAAGTAGAAAAATACTCGAAAGTAATGCCTACCCAATTCAGAAGGGGGTCTACTCATCAATTATTATTATTATTATTATTCAGGAACCAGAAATGTTGTTGTAGTTTTGAGGACCACAAGAATAAGCATGCAAGACATGAAACATCGTGGTTCGAGCTGTGCTGCATTATGAGATACAACAACAAAAAATGTCACGTAATTTTGTATTTATAGATCGAGACTTCATTTTGGTAAGCATGGATGGAGCACCAATCTGCACATCAAATACAGAGGGTTTGTAGTTGAAGTGAGAACAGTTATCTTTTCATTTGAGGTCTTGTGTTCGGATTTTCTATCTCCTAGTAAGCAACTAAGCACTAAAAAAGGAACTTTAATCAAAGTAGAAGATGCAGTGGTTGTTCCTTGCTTGGGGTTTGGGGAAACTTATGGCGTGGCATCTTAGTAACGAAAGAAAACAGAAATACAAGATTTTCCGAACACAGAAGGGTGTTATTATTCTCCTATTATCTTGTGTGTTTGAGGAAAAAGAAACCCAATCTTATATCGGATAGCCAAATATATTGTTGGAAAATAATATTTAAACAAAAACAGTGTGCCTCAAGTTTTATAAATTTGGAGTAGGCCATTCTTACTTTATTGTATTTGACTCTTTGTTAGTTATGAGATTATGTAATCAGACATTAGTGCTTTCATTGCCTCCAGCTCCAGCTCTATCAAATCAATGTCCATGTGTTGTGTTGAGTGTTGAGTGTTGAGTGGGGTGGTCTTTGTCATGTCAAGAAACGAAACAAGGCATAATATCGTATAAAATAATTGGAAATGATTGAAAAAATACTCTGGCTTTCAAAGAAAAGAACTAGGCCGAAATTTGAGCGACCATTAAACCATAAAATTCTTTTCATTCCTTAGATTCTGCTAATTTCCATGTGTTTTGCATTGTGTCTGTTGCTTTATCATCAAATCAAGCATCCTAAACTTCCACGATATGTGGATTTCCATCTTTTAATGGTTTCAAACTTAGTCAAAGTCAGAACAGTTTTGCGTTATCTCGTTGAAAATTCCAGGCAAATTGGTCAATATTGTCAAAATGTCCAGATAAGTGCATAACCTTTTCATTGAAATTTCCAACAATATAAGGACCACGATATATTTTAGATATAAAGAAAAAACAAAACAAAACAAAACAATGTAAGGACCAGTATTACTATTTAAGGTTTTTGTTTTGTTTCGTGTCAAAAGCTGCCTCGTCGAGGTAGTAGTGGCTAGTGACACTGTGACAGTGAGTAAAGTCATTATTCATGCCACATGATTATTTATTGGGAAGATTATCAATCATTTATATTTGCAAGAAGAATTTTATTTCTGCCAGGAAGAAAAAAAATTCAGTATGGACTACAACAAATCACATCATTCTATATTTATTATCTTATAACAGCCACTATATCATTTAAGTTGACCACCTTTCCAAATGGTGACAGCTAACTAAAGCAGGCACACACATGCACAGGCCCAGTGCATGCATGATTTGCAATTCAGTTTTGTCGACGGTCCAATGTGATTCAATTTAATTTGCAAGCTAATTACGAGGGTCTCATCTAAATTTCTAGTGATAAGGGTACTATTAAATACTTGAAAAATGCAGTTATCAACTAAGTCGCAGACCCAGTTTGAGATGAGATACAAGGTTGATTTGCAAAGATAAAAAAGATAAGTGGTGTTTCTCTATTTTTACAAATATCTTGTCGCACTTAGCAGGAATATTATGATTATGGCCCGGTGGGTACAAAAAAGGTACCGCGAAGTCAAAAAGCCCGCAACTTTTCTCAAACAAGCTTCAAATTGCTGAGTGGAGAGAGCGCTGAAGCTGGTGTTGGGTGTGACCGTGTGAGTGAGCTTTAAACACGTGGGGGAGGGGGTCTGTGAAGGAATCGGAGGTAAATTAAACTGGAAAATCAAAGAGGGAGGTGTGATATTTAATGTGGGGAGGTAAGAGAAACAGCAAGCATTCAATGCGGACATGTCTGTATTGACTGCCATAGTAAATGAGGATTTGATGGGTTGCAAAGGATTTGTTTTTATCTTGCACCTCTATCACCACCAGCTGAGAGATTGAGAGAGAGAGTGGTTGGTTGGCGGTGGAAGAGCAGTGATAGTGGGGCGAGGAGTTGTTGAATTGAAGCTGTTTCTGCTGCCTTGCTTTTCTCTGCTTTAGACCTCTTCTTTATTCTTTTGGGTCTTTGATTCCTGGGCACCATTCTCTCTTTACCCTTTCATTTTTTGTTTGTGGGCTTGCTCTGTTTTTATATTTTTCCTCGAAAGACTTAATCTTTACTGGGTTTAGTCCCAAAAATTAAAGAATTCAATTGTAATGGGTTGTGGGATTAGTGAGATATGTTTCTGTTGGCTTCGAGTCTTTTGGGAATGCTGAGTTTATAAGACCAAGTTCCTGGTTTTGAGGTTTTAATCTTTTTTTTCTTCTTCTTTTTCGGGGATGTTGGGTTTTGTTTATTGGATGGTTTCTGCTGAAATGGATCACTCCTTAATTATGGGCCCTTGAAGGATGCTAAAGTTGGAGTTTTCTCCGCGATCACATTAGATTATTAAAGGTGAGTTCCTTATCAGATGTCCTTTGTGTTTTTCCTTTTCCTTTTATCTTCTTTATGACCAGTACCTACAGATCTAACAAAAGTCCTGGGTTTTAATGGAAGAATCTCTTTGTTGTTTGAATGATTTAGGTAATAAAGGAAAAGCTCCTCAGCGAAGCAGCCAAAGTTTGAAATGTGCCTCTATCTCTGAAGCCCAAAATTTGATTTTGAAAAGCCAGCGTTCGATCTTTGTCAAACTCAGAGACCCGCTTTTGCTTTGAAACTGATTCTCTGATTCTGCTTACTTGAGTCCGTGTTCTTCTTTCGGACCTGTACTTGGTTCATTACTTTCTGGGTAGCATAGTAGTCAGACTGGTGTTAGAGAGAGAGAGAGAAAAAAAATAACAGAGAGGCCTTCATGCATCTTTCAGTATGGAAGCCTATATCGCACTGTGCTGCTCTGTTAATGGAGAAGAAGACCAGAAGGAGAGATGGTTCTGGTTTGACCGTGGACGCCAAGCGAAAGTCTTCAGTTCTCCGGCAATTGCAAGAAAACAAGCTCAGGGAGGCTCTTGAAGAGGCATCAGAAGATGGGTCTCTTGCAAAATCCCAGGATATTGATTCTGAGACTCCAAATCAAGACGGCAGCTTTGGAAGGTCAAGGTCTCTTGCTAGGCTTCATGCCCAGAAGGAGTTTTTGCGAGCCACAGCACTCGCGGCGGACCGAATCTTTTCCACAGAGGGTTCAATTCCTGATCTCCATGAAGCTTTCAACAAGTTCCTCACAATGTACCCCAAGTTCCAATCTTCAGAAAAGATTGATCATTTGAGGGCAGAAGAATACAGTCACCTCTCAGAATCGTTTGCAAAGGTATGTCTAGATTACTGCGGTTTTGGGTTATTTTCCTCTCTCCAAACTCAACAATATTGGGAATCTTCTTCGTTTACTTTGTCGGAGATAACTGCAAATTTGAGTAACCATGCTCTTTATGGAGGTGCTGAGAAAGGCTGTACTGAACATGATATCAAGACTAGGATTATGGATTATTTGAACATCCCTGAAAACGAATATGGTCTTGTTTTTACTGTTAGTAGAGGGTCTGCTTTTAAATTGTTGGCTGACTCTTACCCTTTCCAAACCAATAAGAAGTTGTTGACCATGTTTGATCATGAGAGCCAGTCTGTGAACTGGATGGCTCAGAGTGCTAAAGAGAAAGGTGCTAAGGTGTATAGTTCATGGTTTAAATGGCCAACCCTGAAACTTTGCTCTCGGGAGCTGAAGAAGCAAATTGCAAATAAGAAAAGGAGGAAGAAGGATTCTGCAACTGGGCTTTTTGTATTTCCTGTTCAGTCAAGAGTAACTGGTGCCAAGTATTCCTACCAGTGGATGGCACTTGCTCAGCAGAACAATTGGCATGTTTTGCTTGATGCTGGATCATTGGGTCCCAAAGACATGGATTCACTTGGGCTGTCTCTCTTTCGTCCAGATTTCATTATTACATCATTCTACAGGGTATTCGGTTCTGACCCAACTGGATTTGGATGTCTTTTGATCAAGAAATCTGTAATGGGGAGTCTGCAAAGTCAAGGTGGGCGCACTGGGACTGGAATTGTGAGGATTCTACCTGTTTTTCCTCAATACCTGAGTGATTCTGTGGATGGTCTTGATGGATTTGCTGGAATTGAAAATGATGCAGTCAACGGTAATGAAGAATTATTGCCTGAAACACATGGGGGGTCTCTGATGCCTGCCTTTTCAGGTGTATTCACTTCCAATCAGGTGAGGGATTGCTTTGAGACAGAGATGGATCAAGACTCAGACAGGGATGGGGCAAGCACCATATTTGAAGAAGCTGAGAGCATTTCAGTTGGGGAGGTTATGAAGAGTCCAATCTTCAGTGAGGATGAGTCATCAGACAATTCATACTGGATTGACTTGGGTCAGAGTCCATTTGGTTCTGATCATTCTGGACAACTAACGAGACAGAAAACTGGTTCACCATTACCACCATCATGGTTTTCTGGCAGGAAAAATAACAAGCTTTTGTCTCCAAAAGTAACATCAAAACTGCCAAAGAGCCCAATTTATGATGATGATAAGAGGGTAAACCAGAGACAACATGAAGATCCTGTTTTGTCTTTTGATGCAGCTGTATTATCAGTATCACATGAGCAGGACCATGTTAAGGGAATCCCTGAAGAAGAAATGTTTGCTGAAACAGATGCTGCCTCAGGACATGGTAGAACATATTCAGGTTCCCTTCATGTTGGGGAGATTCACGAAGAACCTGAAATGAGGGAAGATTCAAGGCCAAAGAACCAGACTTCTGGTCTTAAACACAGTAACCTTGAGAGTTCCTCAGCCTCTGAAATTTGCCAAGAGTCAAAAGAAAGTGCTATAAGGAGAGAGACAGAGGGTGACTTTAGACTTCTGGGAAGAAGGGAAACGAATAAATTTTCCGGTCGTAGATTTTTCGGTTTAGAAGAGGGTGATCGAGAGTTAAGCATGGGTAGCAGGGTGTCTTTCACCATAGAAGACAGCCACAGAGGAAAGTCGAGCCATATTTTTGAGCCTGGAGAAACATCTATGGCTACCGTTGGTGATGATGGATCTATGAGTGAAGGAGAATATGGTGATGAGCAGGAATGGGGAAGGAGGGAGCCTGAGATAGTTTGTCGGTGTCTTGATCATGTTAATATGTTAGGTCTGAACAAAACTACCCTCAGACTGCGGTATCTTATCAATTGGCTTGTTACCTCGCTACTTCAACTTCGATTACCTGGTTTGGATGAAAGTGCCGGAGTGCCTCTTGTGCAAATATATGGTCCTAAAATCAAATATGAAAGGGGTGCTGCTGTAGCTTTTAATGTGAGGCAGAGCAGTGGAGGACTTGTTCACCCTGAAATTGTACAGAAATTGGCTGAAAAGAATGGTATATCTCTTGGTGTTGGTATCCTTAGTCATGTTCGAATCCTGGATGGCCCTAAACAGCTCTGTGGGGCACTTGATCTTGAAGATACATCTTTGTGCAAGCCAATGGCTAATGGCCGCCAAGGCAGTAAGAATATGTTCTATAGGGTTGAGGTCGTTACAGCATCACTTGGATTTTTGACCAACTTTGAAGATGTATATAAGATGTGGGCTTTTGTTGCCAAGTTTCTTGATTCATCATTTGTTGAAGTTGAAAGGGATGAATTACCTACAGTACCAGAGGATTCGGAAACGTAACACTTGTAAAGTATATGGATGTTTTTGTCTCTGAAAATGGACCCCTACTGTTTCATTTAGCAACCTCCCCTTGAAGGTGGGCAGCTGAATATGGAAGTGGAAAGAAATGATGCCTACGTGTGGTCTGTTTCTTTTGCTCCTCAGGAGATTTTTCCTTGTGAGCAGATGAATTTGTTTATTCTTCTTGTCATATCTTTTGATGTAATTTTTTTGTATTAATGGTATTTGGTTTTATGTAGAGCTTAGTTCAAAACCATTTATAATCAGCTCAGGAAGTCCTATGTAACTTGAAATAGAAGTAAAATGGTCTGAATATTTATCCTCTTGGGAAAGCTTCTTCCACCATTTGCCGTATGACAACTAGGACTACAATATTAATACTTGCATTTCTTAGTTTTTCATTAATAAATTATCCATTTGGGTGCAGAAAGAAAGAGAGCAGTTTTTGTCTGCAACTTAGGGGACCTGTTTACATAGTTTGACCTCGATATATCTCCTTCAGATCCATCCACAACCATTTTCCAGTGTCTCTATTCTCTATGCCATCAACAACTTGAGGAGAGAATCCATGTACCTTGTTTTACTCTGCTTTTTTGTCTGGATTTTGTTGTGTTCTAGTTCAAGGACATTGATGGTTGAAACTTGAAAGTAAAGATTGATTCTTCTTTATTATACTCGTATCCCTTGTCTGATACGTAAAATGCCATATTCTACCCTAAAAAAATAATCTCGTCTTTGAGCTTTGACGCTCTCTGTGTGTCGTGTCTCGTGTTTGTACTGGTGACATTTAAGTCTACCATTTTTCTGCATAACAATCACATGACTCGCACCTCAGCCACCACCCACCATGCTTAAAAATGAGATTTTTTGGGGTTTCTTGTCTGGCTAGGTTGACTGGTTCCATAAAATTGTTTATGAATATTGTATTTGATTGATTCGGATGGGGTCAAGAACACTACCTTGCTGTCATTTGAAAATGGTAAATGGACCAAGACACATAAAGGAACCAAAAAAGTTTGAAAGGAAAATGCCATTAACATAAGACGACATGGTCATAACCCATAAGCTAAAAACATTCAAATAATTCATGAGTAGCAAGGTCGTTTTCGCATGGATTTTGTTTCGTGCAGTGTTTTCCAGTGCATGTGATTTTCACATCACACCAAACGCACTCAAAAATTCAAAAATACAATCAATGCCAAGAAAGCAGAAACTTATTACCAAATCTCCAAGGCAGGACCTTTTTGATACACCATATATTTTGAACCAGTCACCTGTTCAAAAGTAAAACCCTTATAAATACACCTGAAACAGTACAAGTCAACAGCCGAAAGGGGTGCAATTGGGCCCAGCTTTGTGTAAGGTTTTATCTTTGAGTGTTAATGGGAGTAATGGGCCTCTTTCCTCATTTGGTAATCAGTGAATTAAATTAGAGGGCCCATTTTGCTGGCTTCTTACAATACGCCATTCAGGCGTTAGTAGCACAGAGGCAGAAGCTTCAGGCTTTTCCGACCCTTATGTCCTGCGCTCTGTACTCAAAGTACAAGCTCCGGCCAACGCCATCAATGGTGCTTCCGTCACTTCTCTGTAAGACAATGCTACGTTGGAGAGCAGAGATTGGCCCTTTGAGGCTATGTTTATACCTTGTATTCAGCTGGTAAGGCCAAACCCCAGATTTTGATTTGTAAGGCCACAGAAATTATCAGTCCTTCATCTCTGTCTTTACGTTTCTTTTTCTTGTTCACTCATCTCATCAGGATTCATGGCTGTGAAATGCTCCAAGTTTTTTAAGTTTTTGGCTCCTGGGTTCAACACAAGACTTGTATGATTCTCTTCTCTTCGCTCTCTGTATAATATATATATATATATATATATATATCTGGTTGTGTAGATTTTGATGCTAGCTAGCTAGCTGTGGGAGGCCATTAGAGTACCAGTGCTGATGCTTCAACTTTTTAGACCATATATATATATATATATATATATATTTTCATGTATATGTATGCGAGTACGACCAGGTTACTAGAGCAAAAATTATTTAATTTGTCTGGGTTTTGGGGAAAATATATTTGCCTAGGTATAGCATAGCCCAGCCGACATTCAAGTTTCTATCATCCTCTTTGTCTCTGCATATTTTTATTTAGTCTTCATCTTATTAGAGAATGCCCATCCATTTTAACATAACTATAAGTTGTTTATATTTTTCATAAATTGAAGGATTAGGAACTGTGACCTAATATTTTTGTTCTACTTATGAACAGTCACTTCCAGTAGCGTTTTGTAGTTCTCTGAGTGAAAATAAACTGGATAAAGCAGTTATTAAAAGCTGCTTGGGATCCTGGCATGTTAGAGTTGGCAGGACTGTTGATGGGGTGCTGTCTTTTGAAGAAGGTTGGGAAGAATTTGTGAACCATCATGGCCTGAAACTTGGAGAAATTTTGATATTTAAACACAACGGCAAAAGGGCCTTCAATGTGGTTGCCTATGAGGCACTTGGTAGTGAGAAAGTGTATGATTCCAAAGGTGGGTCAAAATTTACATTCTTTCTCTGCATTTCCCATGTTGCGTTGCATCTAATGGTGGGTTGTTCCTTGGACTATTTTCAGGAAAAAGCCCTTCAGAAGCAACTGCATCCTCAACCTCAAGGACTTCGTTCGCGTGCACGATGAAAAAATCCCATGGGGATCCTCATAAGGCTTACCTGGTAAGTTTTCTAACTTCTCTTTAGCTGTATGAAGTGTGTCATGTTATTATTTGCACATTATTGAAGATACAATTTCATGATTGCACTTCAAAGGAGATCTGCCAAAGTATATACAGAACATTATTTGTTGCCTGCAAGAGAACATATTATTTGTTGCATAATTAAAAAAGATTTAATATTTAAGCTTTAGAGAGTAGTGTTGGACAAAAGGAGGGAAACTTTAGTTTGTGTTGAATAAGAGCAGGCCATCCTTCTTTTTCTCCTGAAAATATACTTTACAGCTTACTAATTATGTAGATCCCCAAAGGACTCCTCCCCACCCCTTTTTTTCCTTCCTTGGCTCAGTTGGAGCCATGCTTGATGCTCTGTTCTTTTTTACGGGATTTAAAGTTGTAATATTATTTTATTGTGATTCGTTTGATTCTCTCTCTAGCATTGTCGTTAAGTTTTCATTAACACTGATAGTAACAATAATTGTTTAATTATATATTGAATAATCTCATTCTGAAATGCTTCCGTAATCTGTGCATGCAGATCATCCAACTTGTACAAACCCGTAATTAGAACAAGATTCATTTCAAGATTGTTCAATAATCTCTGCCCATCAAATAATATTCCAAAGCCATCTTTATTGATGTGAAGCTGACTGGAGCTACTTTTATATGTTCACTGTGTCATTTATTTATTCTTATCAACTTAGTTAAAAGGGAAGTTAGAGATGATAAATTTTTTTCCAATACATGTATATGCTGGCTGTTCCAGTTAACATAGATCGAGTAATCTTCTTCAATAATGTGGATCATTCTGAAGTCGGATCATTCTGATGTGGATCCTCATAAGACTATATTCTTACGTTATTATTTGTTCAGGGTTGAGTTGCAATCCTTACAACTAGCATGATGAAATTTCTTTTTCTTTTTTGGATTTTCTCTAAATCTGGTGGTTGATTTATGACAGACTATTCCTGCGCGATTTGCAAGATCAAATGGCATTGTGGCCACATCCAGAATAATTCTCAAAGACCCGTCTGGAAGATCATGGCCACTGATCTTAAGTAGGTGGGAAAGCATATCCAGGGGCAGTCATCGTATAGCTATCAGAACAAATGGATGGTACAAGTTTTATGAAGCCAACAAGCTCAAAAATGGAGATGTCTGCACATTCAACCTGAAACCGGTATCATCTAAGTCAGGTTCAAAATCAGCACGTGTCATGGATGTCCAGATAACCCGCGGTTGACCCTAGTCCATTGTAAAATTTGTTGATGTCCTTCGGATTTTGAACAATATCATCAAGCACCTAAGTTGCTGCTATCATGTTTGATGGGTTTGTTGATTCTGTGACGAGGTTATCTATCTAGCTCATGCTGTAATTCTTCTGCTGTTGCTATCTAGCCAGAAGAGTAACTCTGATGGATGAAACCTCCTTTATGCCTACTTTTGAAATTGTAATATTTCCTTCGCAGTTTTATTTGAATTTCTGTTAATGGTTGAGTGCTAATTAAAACACTTTGATATCTTTAATTAATCATTTATGATAAGCCTTTTTCTTTTGGTCGAAAATCATATAAGATTAACAGTATCAGCTTTTTCACTTGTGTTTGTATGCATGATCATATCTGATTAGCCAAAATTTCAAAGTTGAGTCTCACTCGTTTAAATAAGTTTGGTGAATTGAAATCAAATTATTTGTATTTGATATTAAGTTGATGCTTTTTCACTTATGTTTCGACTGAATTTTATGGTCATTGGTGGACCCATAGAGACGTAAAGACGTGTAGTTGCATTTCCTCTCGCCGGAAAATGCTTTTGAGGTTGCAGTATTTGCCCCTCTGGTCTGCCATGAAAGTGTCCACTAAATGCTCGATGAAATGCCTATGTGAAACTCTTTACCTCCACTGTAGAACCTACTGCCATTAAATACAAGGGAGACTTTGGAAAACCCAAAGGAGAGAGAAATTTTGTAAAAGAAGCCAAAATTGACAAATTTGCCCTTATTTATTTTTGGATTTCCTAAGAAATCATTTACACTTGCATGTCTTTGATTTGAAAGTTGAGAGGTTTTTCTGTCTTTTTAAAAAAAGCTTTGGCTTTTTCCAAAAGTGAAAATTTTTTTATGGCTAAAACCTAAATTTACTTAAATATATAAAAAGCGGAGTCCAAATTGCAATATGAATTGAATTAAAGAAGCCTCCTTGCGCTGAGACTCTTGCAGCAGCCAGCAGTCCCAAATTCCAATCGCAAGGTTTATTTTTTATAATTATCTCTTTTGGTTAATTGATAATAATTTTTGTTAGGACTTGCAGTAGCCTCTTTGCGTTGATGCTTTTTATTTAGGGAGCTTCACTAATATACCCAAAATATAGGCTGAAATTATTAAAAAAACCCCATATGAAATGCACTTTAGAAACACACCCAAAACTCATTTACCACATAAGAAATTGGTGTTGAAGTTCCTATAAATTATGTGATTGCCATTGACCAACTTAAAAGAAGCCTAACACAAAAAACTTAAATAGCACCCAAAACAAGCCCAGCCCAATTTTATAAAAAGACCAAAACAATTCATTACAAACAAAATGTCTTGAAAACCGTAGCTTCATTAACGTGTCATGTTGATTAATAATTGTAATGTTCTACACCTTTATTGTCATGTTGATTAATGACTGTAATGTTCCAGTTTAGGGTAATAACACTGCTAGTTTACTATCATGTTGATTAATGGCTGTAATGTTCTAATATAGGGTAATAACACTGCTAGTTTTCTATGACATTTTATTTCTAATGCATGTCTACCCATATAATGTTCCAGTTTAGGATATAACACTACTAGTTTCCTATGATATCCTATTTCTAATTCATGTTTATCCATGTAATGTTCCAATTTAAGGTAGTAACACTGCTAGTTTCTTATGACATCCTATTTCTAATGCATGTCTACCCATGTGTAATGTTCCAGTATAAGGTAATAATACTGTTATTTTGTAATGTTCCAATATAGGATAATAACATTGCTAGTTTACTGTCATGTTGATTAATTGCTATAATGTTTCAGTCTATGGTAATAACACTGTTAGTTTACTGTCATGTTGATTAATGGCTGTAATGTTCCAGTCTATGGTAATAACATTACTAGTTTCATATGACATCCTATTTCTAATGCATGTCTACCCCGTGTAATGTTCCAGTTTAGGGTAATAATACTACTAGTTTTCTATGACATCTTATTTCTAAGGTAATAACACTACTAGTTTCCTGACACCCTATTTCTAATACATTTCTACCCTTGTAATATTCCAGTCTAGGATAATAACACTGCTAATTTCTGATGACATCCTATTTCTAATGCATATCTACCCATGTAATGTTCTAGTATGAGGTAATAACACTGCTAGTTTACTGTCATGTTGATTAATGCTTGTCTTGTTGCTATTTATAATACATGTCCACCAAAGAAAAGAATGAAGAACAAACCAGACCAACTCAAAACAAGCCGAGCTCAGATTGTTAATTTTATTATGTCATAAAAGTACATTGTTAATACTCTGTCCTAGAAGTACATTGTTAAACAAAAATGAGATCCATAACTGAAATAGTAACAAAGGATAAATCTCTCATCAAAGCTTAAACGTTTCGAAATCAACTAAAATATGAAGAGAAACACATAATTGAAGCAAAAGATCAAAAATCTCAAGTCCAAACCAAACGACAATGACGACGGCAATAAAGATGATGATGACGATGATGATGACAATGACAATGACGTAATGAAAGAGGAGTAGAGCTAAGAGCATCTGATTGAGGTTCGTTCAAGGTTCCAAACAATATGGAAAAAAAAATCAGTAGAATCACGATTTTAGAACAAGAAATCGAAGGTGAAATATTGAAAATTGTAAATGAGAGATGAAGAATATAATTGGACCTGAGATTGAGCTTCATGGAAGCTCATCTTGCTCCAACATCAAGAAAGCACAAGCAAGAAAGGATAAAATAAATCTGATTTGGGTTTTTTGGTAGATTTGGTTTTTTTGGCAGATCTAGACAGATTTGGGCAAATTTGATTTTTCTCTCTCAAATTCATAGTACAAAGGCAATATAGGTATTTTACACACACAAATAAACTAAAAAATAGCTATTAAATTTTTAAAAAATTGACAACTATCGATTTTTGAGTTTTTTTGGGTGTGTTTATAGTTTTTAAATGATATATGGTTTCTTTATAAGACTATGTCTAAGATTGGGTATATAACTAAATTTGTATTTTATTTATCCCAAATTCCACCGTAGATTAATTGATAATATTTTTTGTTAAATTAATTAATGATGTTATATGCATTTTATTCATATTAATTGATATAATATATAGACTATATGTTTTAATATTATACCATTATAGTTAAAAAAAATATTTAAATCCTCATCGAATATAGCCTCTTTTTAAAAAAAATTCTAAATCCGTCATTGCCTACGGCCTTGATAATAATTTAACAAATATGGGGTTAATTATCGGTTAAGAGCAAAGCTAACCAACGTCATTGCCTATACCTTGTCACAAGGATAGCATAGTAAGACCAAAACCACCTCCCTATATGACGTGGCGCATTTATTTTAGCTGAAATTTGACGATTGCAACATAAAACATGTAAGCGTAAAATACCAGATCTTTCTGATATAGCACGTGGCATTGTCAGTCAGAGACTTAAGTAGTCACGCGCCATTAGGCGGCGTGAAAACGCGGAACGAGCCCAACGGGCTCTCGTACGTGTAAAAATCTCGCTCCAAATCAAAGTCTCGGAGTAAGTGAGAGAAAGTGGCTGGCTTTTAATCTCGTCTCTCTAATTTTCCCTGAGAAATAAAAAAATAAATAAAAGAAAGAAAGGCCATGGTTTTGTCATATGATCACTAACTAAGCATCTTGTGTGGCTCTTTCTTTTCTTGCTTGGTTAATTTAATCATGTTTGCTCCCATGTAATTCTGAAGGACAATGTTTGTCCCTGTTTGGTTGCTGGGAAAATTGGCTGAATTTTCTATTTCGAGTTAGAAACTTGCAAGCTATCTCCAATGGCAGAAGAAGCTCAGAAGGAGACGTCGAATGCGAGAAGGCCTCACTTCTTTGCGTTTTATTCTGCTGATTTGAGCTCAGAAAGACTGGTACTTTTTTCCTCCTTACTCTTCTTTTTTCCATTATTCTATGTGTAACTATGGGTCATTTTGTTTTTATGTTCCTTTGGGAATTAGGGTTCTTGCATAAAATTTGCTAATTAATTTTTCAATAGTGAGGCTTTGGATTTCCGGTGTACATTTAAAAACAGTGAAATTGCTTATTGGATGTTGGTCTTAGTATCTTCCACAGAAATTATGCATTCTTTAAACATGAATGTTACTCTGTTACTGCTCAAAGAGAGACTTCAATGGCATATCATGGAAAAGTGTTATTAATTTTATCTTTCTAGCTTCAGTCTACCTAAGTTAAAGTATTGGTTGGCTAAGCTCAATGTCTGTTGCATTTTTTGGATGGTGACACAATTGCGATATTATGTTGCAGAAAATACCAGAAAGATTTATGATACACATGGAAGGTAGAACATCTGGGTTAGTTTCATTGTTTGGTCCTAGCGGGAATGCATGGAATGTTGACTTGATTCAAAAAAATGGTGACTTGTTCTTTCATCATGGGTGGCCAGCATTTGTGAGAGATCATTTTGTGGAATGTGGTGACTTCTTGATTTTCAGATATGATGGTGAGTTGTGTTTCACTGTGCTTATTTTTGATCAAAGTGCGTGTGAGAAAGAAGCCGCATTTCATTCTGAATGTGGCCAAGACTCTAGCAACTTTGAAAAATATATGGGACGGAAAAGGGGCAGGGAGGAGGCTGCATCATCTGGCAAACTGGTTGATGGTGTGGCAAAGAAAATGAGAGATTCCAGCAGCGAGGAAGGATGCAGACATGAGGGTGTAATGTGTGAAGAAGCAACTTGTTCCAAGGAAATTAAGCGATCTGAAAACCCTGGTGAGGAAACCAACTGATCTATGGGTTCTTTCCAGTGTTCCCATTGAAAGGCAACTTCTAGTCACCAGAAAAAAATAATCCATGAAATACTGAGTTTATCTATGTCTCTGCAAACAAGATTGAATACATGCAGATGCAATTATTGATTTATTCTTTCTTGCAGGTTTGGATATTGTTCTTTGTAAAGCTAATGCATCCATCCAAAATACGTGCGGAAAAGGAGATGGAT